TGCCCAGAACTGCTTTAAAGGATGACATGGGCTTTTAAAAATACTAATTAATACCTTGGCAGAGATATTTGGAAAATGCTTCATTTTTCATGTCACAGTGAAAAGTTTTAAATGAGCAGCCACTAGGCTGGGCTGGCTGTAGGAGAACATGCCTTTAATCCTGAAAAGCCCCCTCCATAGCACTTTATTGCGGATCACTGGGAGTTGTGGAGTTAATAGAGAATGAGAATTCGAAAGCAGTTCTGCTGGAAATGGCTGATAAAGGTGATTGCACTGCAAAGTGTGACTCGGAGAGGCCTTTTTTCTCTAAACTTGTGGTATCTGATACATTGTGCCTTGAGAAAAGAAGACTCTGAATTAAGTTAGACTTTTTTTCCTCCCCTGAGAGTAGTGATTGTGCAGTGCTGTTAGGTATGGCCCTGCCAAAATCCTTGTGGTGGTCGCAGTGATTGAGCCTCCTGAACTAAACACAGATGTTAATTGAAGAAACATATTGTTATGTACCTTAAAAAGTGCTTGGCAAGCTGAAGGAAAGCAGAGATTTGTATTGTTATTATTGTTTAATATATAAATAAAAGCCTCACTGGACTGAAATTGAAGTTCAGCAGCCTTTCTGGAGGCAATTAAAACCATTAGCTTCATCATCCAAGGCCAGCTTTTTAATGTCTCTGAAGCACTCCGGCTGCCAAAGTTAATTATTCATCCTTTTCTTAATTGGATTCAGATTGCATCTTAAAGGTGCAGCTTCAGTAGGGTTGGCTGAGCCTTAATTTTCACCCCTTACCTCTCCTCTCTTCCCTCCCTCCAAGAAACGTCTCCTAACATACTGTTTTAAGGCTTTGTGGAAGGATTTGAGAGTGGATTTCAGCCCAGGGCAGCAGGTGGTCATCTCATGGCAGATCTCAGTTCAATAAGCAGGGTAAAATCCATATGTCATTATAAGTAACTTCATGGTAGGAATGTTTTCTGAGATGGAAAGCTGACCAAAAGGGACACTAGAATAGAACTTGCTCTTATGTTTGTACTTAGGGCAAAATACATTTGTCATGTCTTGCATTTCTAGCAGTAAACAAATAACTTTGGTTTCATAAAATATATACGCTATATAAGTACATGCGAAAATACATTGTGTTCTACTTGTATTTTAGTAACACTAAAATACAAATGATAGGTGCAATATAGTCCTAACATTGCAGGGCTCATTTTTCAGGACTGTAAAACAGGTTTTGGTTCAAGAGCTTGTCTTTTTCTGGAAAAAGATGAATTGTTTTTCACAAAGGAGATTTCAAAAGTAGCTTAGACAATGAAATTACTGCTTTTGGTAGCTAAATTGTGAAGTTGTAATTTGGTATACAGACAAACCCTTGCAGGATCATTGATGGCAAACCTTGTTTTACATGTTTGAACTCAGCCCTTTGACATGTTGCCTCTATAAAAGCAAACATAGAGGGATATTTTGCAGTATGCAAAGAAGAAGATCTTAGATTAGCAGTTCCCCAAAATGTCCCTTCTGGAGAATGCCAAAAGTACCCTCTTGGCAAAGCAGAAAACGTGCAGTCAGCTGCCTGAGAGATGACTGATGAGGAAAAGGGACAGGAGTGAAAATTCCACACAGAAGGGGACACGGAGCAGAGAGCCCTGTGTTGTTCAGATGCTCCAGTCTGACCAGTTGCTATTTGGTGTTCCTGTAGCTTTTTGATGGGTTGCTGTGCTGTGTTGTATCTACAGTTGCTCATTAATGTTACTAACACTAGTATTAATGTTAATAAATAGGTTTTCTGTTTGAGATACAGATCAGTTTCTTATGTGTAGCCTATTGAGCAAGTCTTTCAGCCTTAGCTGACCTTTTCCAGATACTCCAAAGATGAAAAGTACCATCCCATTACAGTAGTATGTTTTCATCTTCTTGTACAGTTATTTTTAAACAGAGGAGTTAGATGTCACTAATTGTCTTGTTATTAACAAAATCATAAAGAAAAAAATATATATATTTGGAGTCTGAACTGGTATCTTTCCAGGATCATTTTTCAGGCCATCCGGTTGCCTGCAACTTTCCAACATAAAAATGCTGACCAGCGTGCTAACTTATGAGGAAGAACAAGGGTAAGACAATAGGTGATAATATTGCAGATGGGTGTAACTTCTGAAACCATCAGATCTTTGCCCATGCTATTAGCAACACTAGCAAGATGTGAAGCATGAACTGGAATGGTGGGAGTTTTATATGGAGTATGAATTTTTGATCTGACTTTGTCAAAGCTGAAACTAAGAAACATCTGGTTTTTAGCATTCATGATTACTAACACTTGTGATTCTATGAGCTGGTTTCCCTGCTTTTCAGTTTGCTGCAGAGTAAGAGACCATCTAAACTCAAAGAAGCAAAACCTTCTAGAAGAGTAATTTAATATAGATTGGAACACGAGTGAGAATCAGGCTCATGGGACTACTTCATAGACTGCTCAATGTTTTATTTGGTACTTTCTAATACTATTTTCTTTAGCATTACAGCTCAATTAGCATTTTTATGCTGACTACAACACCATACCAAATTACTGTGTCATATTCCAGTTTGCAAAAAGACAAGCTGAGGGAAGATGAAATCAGCTTGTATCAGATGCTTTAACAATCTAAGTATTTCTAAAAACCTGTATGCCTGTTATCCCTTACAGTGTGAACATAGATGCACAACATCCAGCTGGGCTGTAACAGGTTGTGGGAAGTTAGTAGCAACCTGATATTTTAAATACAGGTTCTCTTCTCTCCTGCACCATATACCTGTATTTAGAAATGAGGCTTCACACCCTGGAAATCATTCCAGGCCGCCTTTTCATGCTGTACCTTTCCCCCTGCAATTCCTATCACCTGCAGAAAGGAACTGGTTTCAGTGGCTGGAGCTGTGGTGAGCAGGGACCACTCTCTTGGTGCCCTCCAACCCAACAGCTATTGCAGGCTCCACCTTTTCCTTAGTTAATAAAAAAAAGAGGTTCATCATCATCATATTTTGGTTGTGTTTACAAAGAGCCATTTCCATAGTGCATAGATGGGGGGACCCATGTAGGTTATTTTAGGTTTGAGTGGATCTTCTACATTTTGTTGGTAAGAGATTTTTTTTTTTCTTTTTCCTTTTTCATTTCTAAGTAAAACAGGCTCCACATGGGAGAATTGGATGGATGTGTTGTCTTGCCATAAATATAATAAGGTCCATGCATCTTGGACTTGAATATCCCTGATGAGGAAATAACTTCTAAACTGCACAATTTACCACACAAATTATTCCTGTTTCAGGAATAACCTATGAAGAATGGCTATACGTGGCTTCTCTAGGGAATGAGGGATGATAGGAATACTTTTGTGGAAATTATATGGACCTTTTAAGCTGGTCCAGCACACAGAACCCTTTTGTTTCTGTAATTGATACTATCCAAGTCAGGGAAAAGAAATGTGACTTTGCTGAAAGAAAAAAAATACTGAAGAGCTGCATTATATTTCCTAGGAGCTGTAACACCATAGCAACAGTTGTCTTTCAGTGCTGCTGCATCGCTTAGTAGTTCTGATTGCTGGGCGAGCCACAGTCTACTCTGCTGTAAAACTTCCTGCACGTGAGCAGCTGGTACCACTGGCAGATAATTACCAGGAAAATGTATATTTACAACACATCGTGTTTGTCTATATTTGAAATGATTTTTTTCCTCGTGCTACATGCCATGTTGTTTCTCTCCTTTAAAGGTACTTTAATGGGAAGTTTATTGCTAGAACTGGTTGGATTTGATTAATGAAATAGTTTGTTTAGTGGGGAATTTTTTTGTGTGTGTGTGTAAAATAATAGAAAATCCAAAGCAGTTAGAAAAATTCCTTTTTATTAGAGTTACTGTAAAAAAAAAAAGGAAGATGCATTGTTCCTTTCAGTATTTTTCAAAATAAATGTATATTTTGAATGAGTTTTCAGCTAGGAATTTAATTTATAGCAAATAGACATTGAAATAAAAACATAGTATTTCAAAGAACAGCATTAAAACTTTTCGATTGAACACTTTTTAGTGTTCAGTTTATGAAAATGTCAATTCCATCCGGATTCAAGTCAGGAAAAATGTTTGAAAATTCTTCTGAGATGACAAAACCTTTTCCTGCCTATCTCTGTTCTCCTTATTATACATTAATACTGCCTGGCTCCCTTTGCTTGGGTGTGGCTTTTTTGTCATTCTTTTATGAGAACTTTCATGGAAAATTAAAGCAGACTTTGTGATTAATTGAAGATGAATAGTCAAAACACATTGTCCTCCCCCTTCCCCCCCTGGATCTATCCAGGTTGTAATATAGACACCAAGTGGCGGGCACTGTGGAGGTTAAATGTTCATGACAACTGAATTACTTCTGCAAAAGGTGCCTGTAGATACAAGCAGAGGCTGAGACAAGAGGTTTACACTCTGACTGCTCATGCTGGGTCTTTTCTGTGGTTTTCCATTCTGTAGATGTCAGTCCAGCTCCTTCAAAAGGCACCGAAAACATGACACATTAAACAAAACAAGTGGGCTATAAATGGCCTGTGATTTATGGGTTATCTTGGTTTGTCAGTTCTCACTGCTGTGAAGCACTTCTGGTATTTGCACAATGATGTAAATTATTTCAGCATGAGAGCATTAGCAAAGTGCCCTGCGAGTTGTGAAAGATCTCATTGCTGACATGGCTTGTTCAGCCAATAAACTGCACTGATCTCAGGCTTGACAATATCACAGCAGCAGAGAGACTAACTTATTCTGAGGAAATACTCACTAAATAAAAGAGAGAACCAAAATGCCATCAGCATGTAGATACTCTGGCTGTGTGACTGAATTTGGAATTGGCTTTTCATTGCCTGTGTTAGAATAACTGTGAATATCTGTGCTTATATGGGCAGATGCAGGAGGAAATGCTATATGCAGGGGGGCTGACCTCTGCTCCTGTAGTGTAATAAATCAATTAATAGCTTTTATTCTGTGGTTTGTTTTTTATTTCGTGTACAGCTAACAAGAGAACACCAGGTGGCCCTCTCCTCCATCACTTACATTGGCTGTGCTCTGTCCATCTTCTGCTTGACGATCACGCTGGTCACATTTGCTATATTGTCGTGAGTAATTTTAACTTAATACCTGCTGAATAGTTGTCATGCAGAGAGCCAGCAGTGCATTTCAGGCCACTGGTTGGGATCCCTGCAGTTGCTCAGGATAAAACAAAGGCTATAAATTCTACCACTTTTCTTAATTAGATTTTGCACATGTATTTGTAACAGTTGGTCGGTTATTTCTAAATTACTTTCTTTTCCTGAAATGGGTGGTCTTTATATGGTAAGCTATTTCCATCCTAAGAGGGATTTTTGGAAGTTTTTTAAACTCTCCATGTTTTGCTATAGTTCAGGAATCTTGCAAGGAGGCTGTAGGAGGGCTTGGTCTAGAGCTCAAAGCAAATACCATGTGAACAAGGACAGCTGGATCACCCCCTCTTCTCACCTCCTACATACATCTTTGGATTGCTTGCTGTGTGCAATTGGTACTTCTGCTTTTCAGCTGTCTTGTTTGTAAGGCAGTGTGTTTATAAAGGTATGCCCAGAAGAGAAAGCTTGTTAGGCATTAGCTGTCTCACTTTTGTTTCATACAGGTTGTACACAGTTACATCATGTAACCTGTATTTCTTTTCAAGTACCTTGCTGTTCTCTGTTAGGCTAGTTTTCTGATGTGCTACTTTAGTAGGATGAAGGACACTATAGCGAGTGTGAAATTCACTCCATGGCTTATGTTTAAATCCTCTGAAGCCTCCTGCTTGTGTCATGGCAGCCCTTTCGAGGCCTGTCTCGCGGGGAAGGATTTCTGCTGCAGGGCACGTAGGGGTCTTTATGCCTGTCTGTGTTTCAGTAGTGACAGCTGAGTTTGAGGCCCAGCTAGGCTTGATACAAAGTTTTGAAAAAGCATTCATAGAGGTTTCTGTCTAAATAAAAAAGTAGAAAACCTGTCAAAGGGTGAAGTAACTTGTCTGAGGTTGCGCAGCAGACTGGGAGCACAGCGAGGAATGGGATTCTTGTCTCCTTTTGCACACTAAATCATGTTCTTCCTGCTAAAGAGTTCAAGTTGTGATTTCTGTGCCTAAGCATGTCTTTTGGACATCCTGCTAGGAGGCCAGTTTCTAGGAAAAAGGACTTGCTGAAACCCAGTAAACTGATTGCAGTGTTTGTTTGTTCCAAAACCCATATTATTTCCAAGTCTCAAGACCTGTGTTGGTCATACTTGGATTAAGTGCATAACGCATGGCAAAATCCACTCTAAATAAGCCCCACGTCTGCCTATCTGGCATTGCGCTGTTGGCACGTTTAGGCTGAGGGGAATGATCTGCTCCATTTTTGTGTGAGTGCAAAACTGGGTGTTACAGCGTTTAGAAAGGAAAAAAGAGCAAGAGGAGATGGTGTTGCTGCAGCAGGGCTGAAAACTCCTCAAGAAACTGGAGGCAAACAGACTTGGAAGGAGAGCTTGACTGTCACAGGTTAAGCACCCCACCTACGTACAGCATCATTCAAACTGCCAATTAAAAATAATTTGATTAGGTTTTCAGTGGAGAGCAGGGCCTCATTAAACAGCTGAAGTGAAATTTTGCAATGTAGTGTTAGATGACCATGAGGTAAGTGGAGAGGAATCTGGCAAGTTCTTTGCTACTCTGAGTACTGGCAATGACGGCCACTTCCCAGGAGGGCAGTCCTGCTTGCCTTCTGGGTAACAATGTTCCAGTTTACAACTACATGAAGTTCCTTATTAGAAAGTCACTGGCACCAGGTCGCACAACCTGTCTCTTTGAATTACTCTGTGGACATCAATACTTCTTGTCGTCTCCCTCTTCACTCCGTTCTAATGGAGAACTGGCTACAGTTGTGCTGGAAGAGCCACGCTGACAGAACACCACTGTCTGCACTGTCCAGCCTGTGTCACCCTGCTGCAGGGGACATGCACGATGCATCACCAGTGGTTGCAAAAGTCATCACTATCCAGTGCGATACAACAAAAAGATGGGAGCATGTACTGTTGTGTGGAAGAAGCACTGCTATTCACGCAGCCAAACGGCCCAGGTCTCCTGGAATGATTAAAGCTTGATGGTAGAGGCTGGCAGGCAGTATGGATTGAAATAGAAAACCTGTTATCACTAGTACTGTTCTTTTTTTAAAGTGCAGAATAAAATCATGCAAAAGGGGCCATAATGTTCAGATAAATGTTTTTGTTTGTTTTCCACTTCCCGTTTCTGGATGAGAACAGAAACACGAGGTCGGAAGGCTCCCAGGAAAGCATGTTCTTGTCAGCTTTCCAGCTGCTTTTTGCAAAGCCAAGAGAGATATGTTCGCTTGATGTTGTAATCAAGGTCAGGTCTCTGTCAAGATAGGCACTGGCCATCTGCATCAGTAGCTATGGTTCGTGTGCTCAAAAGATGATAATAGTAAAGTCATAATTGTAACCAATGTCTTTTCACATTCCCTTTTTTCTAATACAGACAAATACTAACAAAATAAAACCAGAAACTTTGGCACAGTATGTGCTAGATGGTGCAAGAGAGTGCGAGGTGCATATCTGCCTTCCTTTACAGTGCAGCACCATTCAGGATCAAGCCCTTTGTTCATGTCTATCACAAATCATCAGCAGAGCTAGTTAACTTGCAAATCAGTCTTTCTGCCATCTTCAGAATGGCAGAAGAATGTCATAGAATCAAACAAACCAGTCAGGTACCACTCCATCCTGGTGGAAGGTGTGTTCAAAAGCCATCAGGATAACCCCCACCAAAATGAATGACCAAAAGCCAATCAAAATGCTTGCTGATAACTCATAAATACATTTGTGCTTCTTGGAATATTGTTTTATTCATGGTTTTCTATCTTCTGCCAGGTCTGTCAGCACTATTCGCAACCAGCGCTATCATATCCATGCCAACCTGTCCTTTGCTGTCTTGGTGGCTCAGATCCTGCTTCTCACCAGCTTTCAGTTCAGCCCTGGAACGGTAAGTCCCAAAAAGAGCAACTGTGGGTTTTGCAGGGCATCTCCATGGAATGAATACCAAATGGCACATGCAAGAAAGTGTCTATTTTTAACATGCCTTAGCCAAAAATGACATCCTACAACACTGGATACAGCCTTCTGTGTTATCATGGTATCTGGCCATGTCTGGATGTTTGCAAACTGAAAGAGATACACACCCATGATATCACCATCAGGTGTGCACAGTGATGGAGAGTGTTTCAGCTGTGTGTTCAGATGGCATGGCTGACTTCTGCCCGATGTAGCTGTGATTTCTCTCATGCATTCTCTGTGCTGAAAACTGTATTGAAGAAAATGGTATTAATTTTGTATTTTGGTAAGGTGTTTGTATTTCTATGGTGCAGTTTGCCTTTTTCTCCACATTAAGAAGTCATCTTATTCTTTTTGAAAGGTAATGAGCTTCCTGATGGGGCTGTGGCAATTTATTCTGCTTTCTTGGAGAGCAAAATGGTCTTTTTTTTTTTTTTTTTTTGTACATGCAGTTTTACTTGTGTGGCAGAATATGCTGTTTTTCTGAAAAGCAGATCTGTTGATCATGATCTCTACTCTAGAGATTTAGATGATGTTTAAGTATCATTCGTGTTTATTTGACCTGAGTAATAATCAGTGAGAACTACTGCTTAATTAGCCAGAGGTGGCATAAAGCATTATTTCTATTTAAGAGTTTAATCCAACATCCTCAGTACTGTAAACCATGTATATGCTTCTCTGGACATTTAAGGCAACGATCTGAGCAAATGACAAATACCTTCTTACTGCTTACGTGGTACTGAAACACTATGCATGAATAGATGACATAGATCAGAACTCAAAATTACAGATTGATTTTATGGATCAGGTGGGAATTCCTTATGCAGAGTACCATTAAAACTGGCATCTAAACCAGCTGGGTTAGATTAAGACAAATATGCCAAGTTAACAGTATTACGTACCAGTAAACGCAGTTTGTTTCCACTGTTGTGTTTAAAAAATGCTATTTAAAGTAACATATGGTCTGTTGGTTGGAAGTGCCACCTGCAGAAAAGAAGAAAGAAAACCTGATTTTAAAATAATATTCCAGTGTGCTTGGTTTTTGTGATGGTCAAACCCTGGCTCCTTTGGTGACTAGCTGTTGCTCCATCTGGCTTTTCACAAGCAGTGAGCAGTTTCTATTAATTTTTGATACTATTTATTCTCAGTAACATAAGTATGAGGTTTGCATATCCTTCATTTTGCTAATACAACACCTACTTAAATTTATTTTCAGCTCAGTTGGGATCCCTTGAACTTCTGTTATGTTTATAAATAATAATAATGTCTGGGTTTACATAGTCTATTTTTACCTAAGGATCTAAAAGCACTTTGTAGAACTAAACTCATGCTCTTTTGCTGTTTAACATTTAGGTAGGTCCTGAACGAGTAAGATAATGTGCAAGGGAGAAAATGCTAGGGAATGGTTTATAAGGAAATGAAATGAAGACAGTGGAGAGCAGCAAAAGATACTACTTGAAACCAAAGACAGTGGAAACCAGGCATTAAAGTAATCCTCTCCAAGTATAGAGCTAAGTTTCTTAGAAAGAACATAGAGTTGAGGGCAATAAAACATTCACTCAGTGTAACAGGGTGTCTTATTCTCAGTTTTTTGTTTTCATCCTACTGAGTCACCTCAAATAACATGTAAAAGCCCTTTACACTTTATCAGGGCCTGCATCACATTCAGTCTTTTAAAATACTGTGAAATGCTAGTTGTTTCCTGTTTTCAGTTGGATGCAGGTGAAGCCCGTGTTCCCCAGAGATGTGTCCCAGTGTCCACTTATATTTATCGCATGCCTTGTCCACACAGAGATGTTCTACTTGTTTAGTTAAGTTTGTGGAATGCTGACATAGGCTGAAGTTACAGTATAATATGTTCATCTTAAACCAGTTCAAGACTTACTTAAATTGAAAGTAAAATTACATTGAAACAGCAGCACTCAGAAAGCAAGACCTGTTTTATAGCACAAGCTTTCTGAAGTGAAACACTTATCTGCAGAAAACTTGGACCCAAGGGGTTATAAAAACAGTGTACTAAGTGAAACACTTCAGAAACAGACTCCATGGATATTTCAGCCCTCTCTCCTCTGTACCAGGAGTAATTGTACGGTGCCATACTGTAAAGATCTTAAAAATGAAAAGCACAATCTGTATACTGTCTGCTGAACCTTTATTTTTATTGTTTTAATCTCTTGGGATCAGGGGTCTTGTGATTCATCCTTTTATTAGTCTCCTGTCCTTGCCTTCTGCATGCTCTGTTCTTGCTAGCTCTGACATTAGTTTTAATACCTTTAAATGCTGCTTTAATTGGACTGGTAAATGGTATTTTACAAAAATAGCGAGGCAGTATTTACACTAGAAGGTGTAAATTTGTTAGTATTCTGCTTCTGCCAAAGAAACTTCTAGTGTTTCTAGTGCTAAACAGTTTATAAGTGCCCTTGCTTGAGAGAGGACAAGTGGTACCAGTTTGTGTTAGGAAATACGATGCAACAGGGAACAGCACTGTGGAAACAGGCCCTGAACTGACATCACTTTCTTGCATCACTGCCTTTAGATGCTCCATCGTTTCCCATCTCCATCTCTAGGATTATTTAGTTCTTGATTTCGGATACAGCATACAGTAATTCCAAATGTATTACTAACAACTTAGAACTTATACTGCAGCAGTTTTCCTTTTGTAGAGTAGGAGTAATTTTTAACCACAAAACTCCATTGCCACAAACAGGAATTTGGTCTTTATAATACATCCAAAACCTTTTTTATTTTTTTATTTTTAAAAGCTGGTCCTTAATACCTAACATCAGTAGTGCTAAACCAGTAGTCCTAAATGATCATGGTATATTCTAGGAAGGCAATTATTCCTGAAACTAGGGTATCTTTTTACTAGAGACACCAAGTATCTTCACACACAGCATTTTCTTTCCTATACTGACAAGTCCCTAAGATATGTTTGCTATCCATGTGCCAGTCTCCTGACTTCCTGTAGACTTCCAGCATCAGATGGATTTCTTCAGAGAGGTTTGCTGTCTAGTTACTCTCTGCTATAGATTAGAGAGTCTGTTGTTTTTAACAGAATGCTAAACAGAGGTGTCCATTTAAAAATAATTGATGATCAACATTTCTTCAGGCTAAGAAAGCATTCCAAAGAACCGAGTGCATGTCTGTGGGAGAAAGTGAAATATTATTTAGACACAGGAAAATGGAAATTGAAGTAGAATGTGTTAGGCACCATTGTGTTTTTGCAGCAGAACTAGAAAATTTAATGTGTCTACTATTTGCAGTTCTGCATCAGTGTATTGATCTGTTTCTCACTCAGTACTCCTGCATGGCATTGCTTAAACCACTTTGAAAGACAGAGATGAAATGAGCTACTTTTGTTTATGATATATGTAGATTCAAGACTGTATCAAAGCAGCATACAGATTGCAGGGACAGACATTTTCAGAAGGGTTCTGTATAATGCAGTAAGATTGCCGCTTGAGAGCACTATTGTAAGTTGAATGTATGCAAATTTACCTATCTGTTTTAAGACTGTCCTCAGTAAACAAGCAACTCCTATTTTCTGAGAGGCCTTTCTGAGAGTCTGCTTTACTTCCTCAGCATCTATAAGATGATGTGCCTTGCTGCTGGATGGACTGATTTTTCTATTTCCACAGACTCACAAGTAGTCAACTGTAAGAGTAACAATAATGAGATCTGTCTTGTTATAGGCAGGCTACTAAAAGTAGTGTGCATCACAGAATCATAGAATAGTTAGGGTTGGGAAGGACCTTAAGATCATCTAGTTCCAACCCCCCTGCCACGAGCAGGGACACCACACACTAAATTATGGCGCCGAAGGCTCTGTCCAGCCTGGCCTTGAACACCTCCAGGGTTGGAGCATTCACAACTTCCTTGGGTAACCTATTCCAGTGCCTCACCACCCTCACTGTGGAGAACTTCTTCCTTATATCGAATCTAAACTTCCCCTGTTTAAGTTTGAACCTGTTACCCCTTGTCCTACCACTACAGGCCCTAATGAAGAGTCCCTCCCCAGCATCCTTATAGCCCCCTTCAGATATTGGAAGGCTGCTCTGAGGTCTCCATGCAGCTTCTCTTTTCCAGGCTGAACAGCTCCAACTTTCTCAGCCTGTCTTCATACAGGAGGTGCTCCAGTCCTCTTATCATCCTCGTGGCCTCCTCTGGACTTGCTCCAACAGCTCCATGTCCTTTTTATGTTGAGGACACCAGAACTGGACACAATACTCCAAGTGAGGTCTCACGAGAGCAGAGTAGAGGGGCAGGATCCCCTCCTTTGACCTGCTGGTCATGCTTCTTTTGAAATCATACGACACAGCAAGGGAGCCCTGCTTATTTGTAATACGTAAAGTCTCAGTTTTTCAATGCCTTTTTCAAGAAGGCAGTCCTGTCATTTAAGAGTATCTTCAAAGTAATAAGGCACAAATACAGAATGAGTAGCACCTTTGCTCTGGATCTTCTGTGAAAAAATCTGCAACTTGGTATTAAACAAAATTATATATAGGACAGTCTCCTGCTGTTTCACAGTGTTTCATTTTTCTGCTGTTTTGTAATTCTTATTGTTTGGCTACCTAAAAATTGGAAAGTATCCATGTGGCAGAACTAGCTTGTAGGGCAGTTTTATGTTGCGTTTATATTTTCATGAACTAATCTTCTGGTAGAACTTAAAAGGCATTAAAATGGATTTCACAGCCTTACAAAATTAACAGGAAGGGTTTTTACAGTTTTTGTCAATAAGCAAATCTGTTTTAGTTATATGTCACCAAACACTGCGAAATACTGCAACACTTACAGATCTTACTTCCATGAGTTAAAGCCAAGTTACACTGCTTTTTAATACATTAATCACAGTGGATTTACATTAGAATGTCCTTGCACTAGCAAGTAGAAGTAGCTGACTACAAGTGGGAAGCTGTGGGAAAGCTTCAACTTTCATTATATGAGTAAGTCCCAACATTTTAATTTTCATGAGTGTATGAAATCCCAAACCATCAACAAAAAGAATAAATGCCAGCACAGGGCAGCTAAGCTAATGCAGCAAAGGGCACTGATGATTAACATCTGAAGATGACTGCAGCAGGAGAGCAAACTGGTTCATACAGGTAATGCTTCTGCAGCTCACAGACTGCATCTGCCTGGATAGAATCATAGAACAGTTTGGGTTGGAAAGGACCTTAAGATCATCTAGTTCCAACCCCCCTGCCATGAGCAGGGACACCACACACTAAACTATGTCACCAAAGAAATACCTGACTCTGACTTGACAAGGAAGGGAAACCTTGGAGGGGAAAAAACAAGTCTTCCCATTTACATGGGCTGCATGGAAGCAACCCCTCCGAAATACTGTAGGTGTCACAGAAGGATGTTACAACCACCGAGCAGAATGACCGTCATCAGTATGCTGCAAGATGCGAAACAGATATAGCTGGGACTCATTCCAAGAGCGTGTTTAAAGTGTGCCTTAACTGAAAGCAAACCAAACAAGGTTATCTTGTGGTAAAATCATTGGCACTCACATCTGTTCAATTACTGCACGATGAGCAAAACCACTTGTGGTGAGACATCCTCGAAAAGCAATTAGCGGAGAAAGGAGAATGTGCTGAGTGAATACGTGAGGAGGGGGGAAGAAGAAAGGATTAGGTTTTCCTGTTCTTGAAAGATAGGTTGATAGGAGACTTAGAGAAAAAAGATCTCTTTGCAGAGCAACTTAAGGAAAAGACAGGTCTTAAGCCCAGACTGCATTATCTGTAGCCCACAGTAAGCACTGAGGTGGGTGTAAACAGGACTCAAGAGGATGTTTTTACTTGCTGCATTGCCTTAGTCGTGGCATTCCTCTCTTATGGGGCACTTCAAAAACATGTTACAGTTTAAACTGAAACGGTAGAATTTACACCACGTGGACTCACTTTCTAGGTGGTATTACTCTGTTGCTTAAACTTTCCTATTAGCTCCTATTTCCAGAATCTTGATAGCACATAGTGAATGAATAAAGGACCATCAAGGAGTATTTCAGGTACCTGAGAACTTTGGGTTCTTTGTCTTAATCACTAGATGTATTCTTTCCAAATATGACTTCATATACAGCTGGAACATCAGACTATGGGAAAATGGGAATTCAAACAGGGGGCAAACCAGATACCTACTATAGAGCAATTAGGGCTCAAGCGCCAATGAAAGCTTGCTATCATTTCTTGAAATGTCTGTACTAGTATTGCTGATGGAAAAGCATATGAAACTTTTACAGACTTCCTAACCAGGACAGACAGACACTGGAATACAGTGAGATTTAATCTGTGTTTTATTTATGTTCAATCTGAACAACGACTTCTTTGACTTTCCCACTTTCTTGTATTTGCTGCAGGCTTAGCAACAGGGTGTTGACCCCTTGGTTTTGAATTCTTAAGTATTTTGCAGACTGTAGTAGGAGTATTGCTCCTACTATTATAATCAGTTTGGATTTCCATATCATGTTTGGCAATGGTTTTGGCGTGGGTTTTTTTATTTAAAGCTAAAAGGATGTGTTACTCTGAAGCTACCTGAAAATGCTCTAGAAAAAAGGAATTCTCAAGTGCTTTGATTTTAAGCCTGTTTTACTGCAGAGATTTAACATTTAGCATGTAGATGTGTACAGAAAAAAAAAATCAATGTGACTGCATTGCAAAGAAGTAATATATTAATTTTTGTTCTTAATTTAGGTGCCTTGCAAGATCTTGGCCATTCTCCTTCATTTTTTCTTCCTGAGTGCTTTTGCATGGATGCTGGTGGAAGGATTTCATCTTTACAGTATGGTGATCAAAGTATTCGGGTCAGAAGAGAGCAAGCACTTATATTATTATGGAATTGGATGGGGTAAGCATTTAGTAGCTGCTTGGTTTCAGTCTCCTCACAGTAGGACAAGATTATATTCAGAAGCATATGTAAAATTGTAACCTTACGAGCATAGTTGGCCTTACTAAGAGTAGGTCTGTTGTCTAAGAAAATGCATAATTTTTCTGACTGTAATCAGACTTTAAAGTATATAGCCTCTAAACCTAATTCCACTGCAGTAGATTCCATGACCTCTCTAGGCCACATCAGATCCTTAATTACTAAATCAATACCAGGAGTATGGGAGGGAGGTCTCACTGCACTGATAAGTTCTTTTTTTGGTTCTCACTCACTACACTGGCTTATTCTAGTATTCTGTAAAACATACATTAAAAAATCAGCACAATAGCACAGGGGTATCATAAGACTTCATAGGTGGATGTTTTGTGCTTTGAAATCGTTAGATGAAAAAAGCTGCGCAGAGCCTCAGTGTTATAATTAAGAATAAAAAAGTAGCACTGTGACACAGGAATCTCACAGATAGCAATTCACAGCTTTTTACATGCAGTAATGAAAGCATAACCTGTGTGCATACTGAGGAGTTGAAACTGAGTATTTTGTTGCAGACTCTTCACAAGCATGAAAGCCACTTGCTGTTACTGTCCTGGAAGTATGGCAATGATGCTTGACAAACCCCCATATTTAGAAGAAAACCTCTTACATTGAGTCAAAACGAGAGATGTGAAAAGATAGCAAAGGAGTATCTATGTAATTACAGATAATTTCAAAATATGTTAAAACATGCATTATTTTTCTCCCCACAAATTCATTTGCAAGATGAATGAAAGCCAATTATACCAATAATACAGATCTACTGCAGTCATAATGGAATATTTAATACCGATTGGCACTGTGCAGATTCGGGTGACAGTAGTGCTGTTCACTTTTTTAGGTATATATATATATATACACACACACACATATACATGCATATTTCAACAGCTGCCTACTTGTCCTATTTTTTAATATGGCCTTTTAATTCTGTACATCATTCCACTTTGGGTTTAAAATCTCCTTCTTGGCAGTTCTGTCTAAGGGCAATTTGATACATTCCTCTGGTGAATGTATCTGCTACACTGAGAAGCTTTCTTCTTTGCCCTCATTGTTTCTCTGTGACAAGTTCAGGCATATCACATACATGTGTCCTTACCTACCTGCTTTTAAGGAATGGCCAGTTTGCATGACAACAATATCCACCTTAAAGCTTCCAGTGCTGAAAACAGTTGAAAGCTGTTTGGCTGAGTTTTCAGTAGAGCTGGGTAAAATATCTCCCCCCTCTTTTCTTTTTTTCCCCTCCAAAACCGCTACTCAAACCAGACTAAGTGGAGTAATTAATCTCTTGCATGCACACAGATCCAAGAGTAAGAGAACCCAGACAGGCAGGGGGTTAAAGATTTTGGAGGTTTGTAGATGCTTTTAGATTCAGTGCTAAATGTAGATAAACCTGCTAATGGTAGAGAGGTTTCTTGTGGATTTATTTAATCCAGAGCTCATGGAATACAAATCCAAGTGGATCAAACTAAAGAAAATGTTCTCATAAGTCCCTGAGAACTCTTTCTCCTTCAGAAATATTATGTGAAAAGCCACAACAATTAATAAAATAATTAAGAACTGGCATTTAATTCACTGGGGTATTTGCGTATAGCAGATGCTTTAATTAACTCAATTTATAATCAATCATTAATTATCTTATGAAAATAAATTAATGATTTAGATGTGCTGCAGTGTACCTTTACCCTTTTTTTCTGGCATTTTATGTAAGGTTTATTTATTGTAAAATGGCAACAATCTACAAAGTGATTTAGAAGGCACAAGGATAAACATGGCGTCTGACTGAGATATGCCTAGTACTAAATGTTGCATTTTGCCTCCCTTTATTGCAATACGATTGCTACCACTCAATTAGTAGCAATTAGCACAATGTGTACATAGCCTATGGGTGCAAAACCCAATGGGACATTAAATGTGATTACTAAAAAGTCTTTTCAGTGGTATTTTGAATAATGCTTTGAAGGATAATGCCTTAGACCCAACAATAGATGTATGGAGCAAAATAGAGGAGATACCAGCAGCAGAAGTTTCCGTATCAGTTGTAGCGATGGCAGGGATTGTGTAAGAAACCTGGTGACAAGCTCTGTTTCCGAAACGTAGCAAAGCTACTGTTTGAACAGAGAGTGGAAGACATCATCCATATAACAGTAATACATTTCTGTGTGTAAACCTTTCAAAAGACCTTTTTTGCTAAATATTTTAATTTTTGAAAGCACCTTCCAATTAATATTGTTACAGGGACTTGGAAAAAAATGTTTACTGAAATCTATATGTCCCTGGGATAGGAGTTTGTATTGCTTTATTTTTTCCATATAGCTCCCAAGTATTTACATTTGAATTAAATGTTGAATTTCCTTAACCATACTTGACATCATGCCATTGCTGCAAGTGTTGTCTAACCATCACTGAAGTCATTTAACGAGGCAGCTGCATTCCAACTTGTTTATGTCTTGACAAATATCAGGGCAACTTTCAGTCAACAGCACCGCAGCTCACTGGCTGGTACGTAACTCCAGTGCTCGTCCAGTTGGTAATAGATGTTGCTGAACAGTGATTGTTTTAGAGATCCACCCTGCAGTGTTCATTACTTAAATGCTTAAAAGGCCACCCAGGTTTGTCAGCTCCCAACTTTCTCTTTTGTTAGCATAGTGGCACTGAGTATGATTATAAATGTTTAATTAGGGGGCAAGTGTCAGTATTGCCCTCAGCAGCAGTGTGTGCTCATATTCTGTGGGGTAGTTTGGGTTGTCCTTTCATGGACTTGATGAAAGTGCAATAGTTATGTATAGTGCGTAAAGTTCCCGCATCTAAATAGAAGGCTTGCAAGGCTGGGGAAAGAGGCTAAAAACTTTTTGTCCTAAAATTATTTTGTTTTGCCTTGAAAGGAGGGTAAGTTCGCATTGAATATAACTATCAAAAGAAAGTTCAGCATTCTTGTCCCATCCTGAGACCATAATAGATATATATGTTCCAGTATCTCATGAAAATGGGTATTCTTTTACACTTTGGCTTAGCTAATTCTTATACTGACCAAAAATGGTTGAAAGAAGTTGAAGATAAGGATGTCGCATCCATGTTAGTCAGAACAGACAGCTTATTTCTTCATTCTTTGCTTTTAATTGAAGTGTGAATGCATTTGACTTTTACAGTCTCAGAGGTCCTGGAATAATGACAGAACCCAGTCCTGATCTTAAAATCCCAGGCTCATAATTCTTGTTTAAGCAGAGGCACTGGGCTAGGTACATGTGTAAGAGCTTGCATCGTCTGTATTAATGACAAGTTGAAACTTAAGGCAATGAGAGCTGATAGGACAAGGAACTCTACACTGAGTATCACTGATCTTAGGAGAGATATTACTCCTGTAAAATGAATTTAACAGTAATCAGAGAGGCAGGATAGCAAATGTGCGGAGTTGATTGAAGTTCCTGTGTATTATCTTTAGTCCCAAGGGTGCTAAAATTACCTCAAAGACGGCAGTTGTCAGGAATTCAAAATAAGAGCAATTTGAAGAAGGTGATAATATCCTACCTTTAAAACCACCTTGAGATTGATTGAGGGAAAGAAATACTTTGTTGCCTTGGTGATTCAGCATAATACACACAGATTATTGTAGCAAAACTTTTCCCACCCACCCATCTATAGGATGCTGATGATAAGAGTTTGTGATACTGGAGATTTTGCTGTGGCACTTTGGCCTTAACATGTTTTCCTTTTTCAGACAATTTCCTTTCCTTTAGAGACTGAGAAGATTCTGTTCTGAGCTGTCAAAAAGAGCTACATTTCTTTATTTGCTGTTGCTTGGTGTAGTCCCAGACTTCTGCATGGGTACAATGTAACAGAGCAGAAGAAAATCAAAGGAAATTATCTTCTACAAAACAAATTGGAGAATATACTTTTCCCCATCAAACAAAGTAGATCTTTTCAGTATTGGAAGGAAATATGATTTTATTTGTGTCTAATGCTTCATCTTTCTCAATAAATAACATATTTAGCCTTTTAGAATTAATGTCCTAAAATTGCTTTGAATTGTCTGCCACAGAGTTTCTATAACCTGTCTGGGCTTTGTATAGAAGACGCAGAAGCTTTCAAAATACAACATTCAGATTTACAAGCATTTTCCATTTCATTTATCATTAGTGCCTCAGGAACATCAAGCAAATGGGTTAGATGTGATGCTTAATGCTGAAAAGAGGAACTAGCTGACATTCGTTTTAGACTTCACCCTAGTGAATGTATTTGGGCCGCATTCTGGGAGAATTTTGTCTAAGCAAGGATTGTGTTACTGGGCTTCTCGTGCCAGGTATTAAGAGTTTATGCCTGCTCTGCAGCCAGTACTTTGATGCTGAGTTTGGGAGGCAGCTTTAAATTAGCTGGCCTGGGGACCTGGAGAACTCGAGCTGCAGCAGCACATGGCTCCATGTGGGTTGATTTGCCCCATTTGAATGTGATGCTGTATTGCTCGAGGACTGCAGAGACCCAGATGACAGCAGTGCCATAGATCAGCTGCCAGAAAGGTGTGCTGGAAAATTTCCATCTGTGTTCTGGAAAGCATGGTCTATTGCACCCTAAATGTAGTGATTTGAGGTAGGATTGGTGACTGTATTCGTAGCATCTGCTAACTGAGAAAACATTCAGATACAGTAAAATCCCATAACCATAACTCTTCTGTGGATGATAACCAGTGCCAGCACAACATTTTAACATTGCCTATTATGGGTGTAGTCTAAACTTCAGCGCTCTTACGTAATTATTACTGACAAAAGTTTGAGCAAACACACTTACATTTGTATATAATATATAACCCATATGAATTCTTCAGTCCAGATCGAATCATATGATCCCCTTAGGCTAAATATATCTTTCTCAACCTTTACGGGATTTATTGAATGGTTGTTTCTTAAAGGAAAAATACTCCAATTTCACTGTTACAAAACCTTGATTCTGCTTCCATTTCTATTATCCATTTAATATCTTGTTAATGCAAAGAAAAGGCAAACACTGCACTATAGGCTGCAGACCATTTTATTCTCACTGAATTAGAAGTTCTTTTTATGCAGATGACTGCTCTATGTTTCATCTGCATAAGTTTTATTATCTTCCAAAGGAACTCTGTATTTAATTTTCTTCTTCACTGCCACTTAAAATTGACATGTCATGATAAATCCTTTGAATATCCAGCATTTGACTTGGGGGAAAAGGCTGGCAGACTGGAAGTATAAAGGAGAGTTAGTTGGGCACAGGTATTTTTGCTTCTGTAACAAATTCCCTGCTGTGGGAAGACAACTTGCACCAGAAGTCAAACCGTGCCAATCAACAATTGGCAACCAAAGATGTGATTGGGAATGTGTAGACAGACCCATGGGACCATTAGTCCAGGTAGCTCACGCACCCATGGCAGACTGAGTTTCAGCAGATAGGCTTATGTCTGTGCTTAATTGCTTTTTTGAATGTATTCTTGATTATGTTCAAGTGTGTGTAGGAATTTCCTTTCTTAAACAGACAAATGAGCTTGTAAACTAAAATCTTGCCTTTGCTTAGGTCTTACATAAGTATTACTTGTAAGGGGTTATTCCTGATTTGGACAGGCATGGGAGAGCAGAATCAAGAATCAACGGAGGTATTAAACTTTATCCTGCAGAATGGATTTCACAGTCTAAGACCTAAACAATGCCTGTAGATGTTGCTTCTAAACTACTGAGTATCCTCGCTATTTATAAATACAAGGTTCTTCTAGCCCTGATCATTAAAGAAAGAATGAAAATACTTCTCCGAAAATTACAGTTCTGCCAGTACACGAACACTTTACAGAATTTTCTGAGAGTGATATTGGTAAGATTAAGCAGAAATTGCTTGTCAGAGAATTTTGTAAAAGCATCATGTAGAAAACCTGAAGAATTCAAAAGAAAATTGAAACTTTAACCTATCATATCTAATACTCTGTCTGGCACCTGGTTATTAAATTCCATAAGATGATAAAAGCCCAAAACTTCACGTTTTATTAAATCATATGGGAATTAACAGACAATCATTTCATGTTCAGAAGGATGAGGTTTTACTGTATTCAGAACTGTTGGCAAGAAAAACCTCGCTTCCTCTCCAGCTCCTGGCCAGGGAATCTGTGCTGAAGTGGCACAACAGGATATCACAGAGCTGGGGGCCAGAAGCACACAGCCCCCTGACAGCAGGGCTGCAATTGTCTGGGGTGTAATCCTGTAAAACACTGCTCCACCTCCAAGGTGCAGCACATGGGAACTGTCAAAACCCATCTGGAAATACAGCCTAGTTTAAACACTGAAAGCTTGTAGCGTTATTACATATTTATGTTAAAATAAGTCTTGGTTGGGCATCTGAGTGGGATGTGAATTTGCTTCTGTCTTTTCGTAAGTATCTCCTGCTGCTGCATGCGATGCTCTAGATAACTAAATGTCACCATTTCTGTCCTCCCACCTGCTAGCCATGCACCCTGAGAGAAACTCAGCTCTGTTCTCTAGACTGTTCTGAACTCTTGAGCAAGGTGCACTTACTTAGGGAAGGTGGCTAAAATAAGTGTGATATTGCTTCACAGGATATCGCTGCTGGAATAGCAAGAGACAGAAATTACCTAAGCAAAAAACAGGCAGAAAAAGGACTATGAATCTCAATGAAATTAGCAGTAATTCATTTTAACTGTTAAACTAGTGCTTTATTGAAAAGTCATTTTTTCTGACGTTAATTGATTAAAACATGTTGTATTACACAGCTGCAGGAGGATGTCAGGTTAGACTTAATTCTAAAATTACTCTGAGCTGTTCTGTCATTCACATGCTGAACTTGCAGGGTTTACTGAAGGTGTGCTTTTGTTACTAATACTGCCCCTGACTTTGCCTTTTTGCAGGCTGTCCACTGGTGATCTGTGTGATTTCTACATCAGCGTCCATGGACAGCTATGGAGAAAGTGGCAAGTGAGTATGGAAATGTCTTCACTCTGGGTGCAGTAAGGATGGAAAAACCCTGTAGATCAGTTAACAGGGCCGTAGTTCTGCAAGATCCTGCTGAGGAGCTGGTCAGGCAGCCTGCAAAAGCATGACTATGTACATGTACACAGTATATATACCTATACTTTATATATAGGCATATTCTTAGACATAGAAGCCTCAGGTTTGCTTTTCACTGCTGAGATGATGCACAAAAGCTCCTGAGATGCTTTGCCTACTTTTTACTCTTGCTGCAGAGGTGTCAGGCCTCCCACTGTCAGCTCCCTGCTACCCCCCCACAAGGGGCAAGCACAGGCCAAAACACTTCTAACAAGATGGGAATAACCTTTGATTGAGGATACTTAAATCTTCTGAGGAAAACTGCAGTTAAACACCTGAAGACCTAAAATGCATATTCTTAGAAATTTTGATAATTAATTAAGTTCCTTTCTAATTTGGAAAAAAAAAGGCAAATTCATCTGAAAAAAACCCCAAACCCCACCATAATATAAGCAAAAGATTTGGCACAAGGGTTATTTTGTATGTGGTAAACTAGCTTACATCGTCACTGCTGCAAGAAAGATGTGTGAAGCTGACAGCAATGTTCCCAGCCTCTTCCTCACCACCAGCCAGGCCCAGCAGGGAGGGTTTCAATTTGTCTCTTGCTGCAGTGATGGTGCTCACAGCACTGAAATGACTGCCTGTGATACAGGGTACAGGAACAACAAAGAGCAAATAAACGTTTCCCTTCTACGCATCTTTCTGCCCCTAATGCCATTTGAAGGCATGCTGGGGCAGATAGCTGTCTCTGGCTCCCTGCAAGATACAAATCAAAGCGAGATCCTGCCTCAGATTCCTTGTGTGAGGGGAAAAGCAGCTTCTTCCTGATGCTCTGTCATGTCTCTTGCTTTTAAAATTCCTCAGTCTTCTTGCATGCTCTTTTAGGCTTTTTTTTTTGTTTGTTTTTAATTAAGAGCATTCCTAATTAATTAACCACGTGTTCCATCTAAAATCATTCTGATTTTTCTCTGCAGCTGCTGGCTTTCACTAGAGAATGGAGCAATCTGGGCTTTTGTGGCACCGGCATTGTTGGTAATTCTGGTAGGTAAAACCATGGCTGTTGCTGTTTCCTTGTTGCATGTCTGTGTCAGCCCCCCAGCAGAACTCACTGAAGGGCTGCTGCCAGGCCAGTGACACAGCAGAGATGAATGGTCCAGGAGTACTTTGTTCCTCACTTGATTTTTTTGTGGTGTTCACAGTTGTGTATTAGCATATGCGTACTAATTCTCACACTGTTCATTTCACTATCTCAAGACAAAAATACAACCTAAAATACTGGGACAGCCCTCTTGTGAAACAGCTCTGTTGGGACCATTGTGGAACGTATTGTGTTGTGTCCACTGTGTGGAACGTAGTAATATTGGGAGTCTTTAATAATTCTCAGAAAGATCCCCAGAAGAACAAACTGTGGCTTGTGTTTCATATACACCAATAAAAGTTGAAAGGCCAGTTCCACCTCCCTGGTGTTTGAAGCTTTTGGGAATGCTCTCAGTGAAGATGCTCATCAGCAGTTTGCAAGCAGTCAGCAGCTAGCAGGGATGGGTTAAAACAATGGTTAAAAAGGAGCTGTCACCTTTGGGGTGAGCTCTGGGGGAGGTAACAATCCTCCTCCAGGCCTGTCTTGTTACGGTGATAAGGAATTTGCACTATCCCTCTGATTTTGAATTCAATGTCAGGTACAGCAGTTTGTCCTGCTGAGCAAGCAGGGCTATGAAGGTGAGTTAGCTGCGTTTAGGTGGCTGCCACAAACACGTCTGCCACCGATAACGAACATCATTTTTCCAGGGTGGGGTGCAGGTTCATGGCTCCAGTGCTAATACATAAAGGCTCTACAGCAGTTTAATTATGCCCACACATTAAATTACAGTGAGTTGCAGCTTAATCATGGTGATTACCTAAGGAGTCAGTGGTGTTTGCAGGGATTAAATGGGAGAGTATTCCTTTTCAGCACTGTTTCCAATACGTTAATTGATCAGGTTATCTATGATTTTTGCTGCAGGTTATGTCAGAGTGACAATATGAACATGGAAAAGACTCACTGATTAGTGAAATCAGGTTTAAAGCTCTGCTTAGATTTTATAGACATGAGCTCAAATCTAGGCAAGAGTCTGCCTGCTGTGGTATTTAAGGAAGGTCAGGTATAATAAGATCCTGAATACTTACATGGAGGAGCATCAAGAGGAGCCGCTGATTGTACTGTGCATTTCCCTAAGAAAGGTAGGATTTCCATGGAAAGCACAAAGAAGCTTACCCAAATTTTATTACATGGAAGAATGCCACAAATCCTGCTCACAAGCCAAAGGAAGAGAGGAGAGCTATACATAGAGAACTAGCGTTTACCATATTTCTGTAATTATTTGGCAAGTAAAAGGTGGCTCCTTGGCTGGCTTTTTCCTGGGAGAGAGTGAAATCAGCCCCTTTTATAAAGCAGCCCAGCCCAGCATCTTCCATCCAAGATACAGCCTCTGAAAAGCATATAAGCATATTGCATGTATAAGCATATTGCAAAAAACCATAGTTGCTATATTGATGGAAATTGTCTCATGTTAGCGTTTTAATCATTATTAATGGCAACACTTGAAAGTCCCTGTGCAGTAAGGGCAGATTTCTTTTAACTAAGTGAAAACATATGCATGTAAATAAGGGAATGTTGATCACTGGATTAGAGCTGGCTAAACAGCTCCGGACTTTGTTCCAACAAACTTAATTCTTTGTTGGCCTGGTCCTTGCACTTTCTGTATGTGAGTTTGTATTCAAAGATACTTAGATATTGATGACTGGAGAGCAATTAAAATAACCTAATATTCAAATGTCTCCTTCTCACAATAGCACTTGCTTTCCAGCCATTGTTTAGCAGCAAAGGAGGAAATGAGATGCAATCAGTACAACCAGACCTTTCCCAGCTGCTCTCCAAAGATGGTATTAATCAAAACATGCCAGATAGTGCAAGGCTTACTCACCTGAGTGTGCACAGCCTTCAACAATTCACATGTGTAGCTGCTTGCCAGTGAAAATAAGGGTTTGCCTGTCTGGCTCTCATTTATGATATATAATATTTGTGCAGGTCCAGTTACATTCTTTTAGGGATACAAATATTTTGAGAAAGAGAAAGAGTGATCTCACAAGGTTGATCCACATAGAGCAATTTGTTAAATAGTCTAAACCCAGCTCTGGCCAGAGTAGCAGCAAGCTAGCTGACAAATTATTCTCTATGGGCATTGAATATGTGAGCTGAGAAATGCACTAGTGCCTATAGGGAAATAAGGAAGCTAAACACTATTTTGTGTGTGCCTGTGCTCTTTAAATAACAGATCAGCTACTAGTTGCATAAACTAGTGTTTAGCTCTGAAAATGCTTCTCAGAAAGCAGGTTTTGACTACTTCCATCCACAGTTTCTCTCTGCCAAGAAAAAAGGATTATGCTGTGAAGAAAACAGGGGGACTGCTCTTTTCAACTCCCACTCCCTAGAGACTAGGCAGACACAGTCTACTTTTGTCCTGCCACAGGCAATATAGACATCAAGGAGCCTTCAAAACAGAATGATGTGGTAGGAGTGCGACTGGGAAAAAAATACTCACACATACTTTTCTAGGGAGTAATTTGCAGAACCTCCCAGCCCTATATGGATTCCTATACCCAAAGTGCTCTTTTCCTGGGCGTTGAGTCAAGGGATGTGATGAAGGAAATACTTCTTTCTATGTGTAGGTCATTTGGCTTCTACCTGCATCTTAAGGTTTAAAGATCACCCTCCCTCACCCCCAACACTCAAGCCTCTACATTCTCTTAAGGCAGTTAGGGAAAAGAATTGTTGCCATTAATTTGAAGACCAAGGTAAGCTCAGTCAGAGTTGTCTTCAATGGAAAAAAAACCTGTGACAAAGCACCTGAGTGTTTGGAACAAGACATCACATCTCTGGCAGAAGGCTTTGTTTGTTATCAACCATCTGCTGCCTCGGTGTGCTTCCATAGATATGGCAGAATTAAGGAAATTCTGTGGAAAGCATCTGTGTACATGGAGCAGTGGCCGTGCTGCAGGCAGTGAATGGTCCATTGTGGAGGGGGGAGACACTGGGCTGTAGTGGCAAGTCCTTTCTATAGTTTTCCCTCTAGGAAGTTATTTGTCTGGTGGGTTTTTTTACAAGTTTTAGAGATAAGCAGCATTTTTATGGAGCTAAATGATTGCCATTAGCATATTGTAACAGGTCTGTGCTGTGGGAGGTTTGTAACTACTGTCTTCAGATGGGACTCCATGGAACTTGAGGCCCAGGCTGAGCTTGTCATCACTGACTTCAACTGGTACTTGCTTATGAACATTCCATATATAAAAGAAATTCTCTCCCTTACACTTGATCATTCATGATTTAGTAAGTTCTGTTCCTCATGATATTTTTTTGCTCCTTTATGTACCAGTGCAGAATTAGGCTGATTTCTGTATGCTGAACATCTGACTCTGCAGGTAGGCCCACTGCTGGACAGGTGACACTTTGTGTCCCTTATTAAACATCATTCGTCATGGGAAAGGGTGACAGAGCTGGACCCATAGTGTTTAAAGGCCCTGAGACAGTAGGATTTCTCAGAGTCATTGAAATCGAGTACATAGTTCAGTGCTGTGGTGGATTTGAGCACAAATACACAGATTGAACCTCTAACTTTTTCTTACCACCCCTCATTTATACTGTTTTAAACTTCAATTCCTTTTATTTTAAAACTAAATTTCTTCTTAGTGCACAGGAAAGCATGTGACTTTTTTTGAACAAGAGGACCAATTGTAAGAAATTTAAAATTAAGAATTAATATTAGGGAAGGTAGAAGTCAGGGATCTGTTACACTTTATTAATTGTTGTGTATTTCCAACCTCAGAATTTTGCTCTGTGTTCAGCTCTGACTGGTGTGACACTACATGCATTAATATGAAATCGTGTACAGAGAAGGCTAAAATAACTCAATGCAGTCCATTCCATCTGTAGTTGCAATTGCTCAGGGATAGCTAAAAGGGGAGTCAGGCTTTCCAAAAATCATTCTCCCAAATTTTAACGTTGATCTATTTTAAACAAGTAGCTGTGTTTGGAAATGCAGAATACCCAGTAATTGCTGATACCCCCTAGCAATGGGCTGCAACTGCAACAACTTGCAGCACTGCTGTCACGGTAAGGATCAAATTAACTCACACCATGAGCAAGTATGTTAAACCTCAGATTGGAAGAGTCAGTTATAACTCCCTGTACCATTGCCCGCAACTGAAGTGGAGACTAAAATAGTTTGTGGTTTCAGAGGAAAGCTGGTCAATGGATTTAATTAAGGCAATATGTTTTATTCTTTTTTTTTAGCTCCTTTGTGCTGCCAAGTGTTTTCTTGGCTAGGATGCAGCACACCACATCAGAGGGTTTTGCACATGGGATTTCAGCACTGTACTAAAGAAGAAACAAAAATCTCATGAGACTTGGAGGAAATCTAGGTGAAAGCCCTGCAAAAAAAGACAACATAAGTGAGGAAAGAGTCTGACAACATTTTGATGAGAAAAGATTTTGAAGGAGGTCCTTTTTACCCATTTAACTCTCTTTCTGATCCGACAATTTTCAGTCAGACGAAGTTGTCACTAGAGTGAGCCAGAGCTCCCTGATGTCATTGGGATCTTTCCATGGGCTCTGGTGGGCTTTGGATCAAGCCCACAGTAATGGGAACTGGCAGCTCCTGCTGATTTTGCAGAGATTTGCAAGTGACTGGGGTTGGATAAGCTGCCTTGAAAGGAGTCCTGTGAGTTGGGAAACAAGCACTAATGTTATTAGCTAGATTTCTTTTTTTTTTGTGAGTAGAGTGTGGCCAGTACCTGCAAGCAAAAATATTCTAAGTTCCTGTGTAATGTAGGCACAGCAACTGTCGGGTAACCTGGCCTTTCGGGAGAGTAGCAAACAGGAACTATATACAGTTCCTTTACCTAAATGTTTATTCTCCTAGTTTGAACATTCTGATATACGTTAAAGCACAATGGGTGTTTCATCAACTAAGCATTCTCCTGTTCACATCACTGGCAAAGTATTTATATCAGATGCCAAAAATAATCACTGGAAGAACAATTCAGTGGCTGTTTTGGTTTCCCATTATAAGAGAGGTGGAAATACCTCCATGCTTTATACTTACTGAAACATTATCAAAGACAGACATCTGTAGCTAATGTTTGTTTAGGCTGGATGAACTAACTCTGATTTCTCCAAATACCTAAGCAAAAAATGTTAAGTAGTTCAGGAAATTTAAATATAGAACCTGGGGACTGGAGTGTAATGGTTCCTTGCTTATTTTACAAGTACCTTGGTTTTTATCAGCAGTGAGAGCACAATGTTTCCTTCTCATCTTTAAACGTATTACTGATGCTCCCTGGAAAGACAGGTATTCATGCTGACTGCACAAGAGAAACTCGAGGCCTTTTTGAATTTCCACTTTAGGACATCCAAAATACCTAGGAAATTAATTTTCAGTTTAATTTCTTTTACATAAAGAAATTAAAATTCAGCCAGAAATGCTGAACAGTTTGTGCTTTAGAAAACCATTTAATTTTTGTCTCTGAGACTATCCTGCTTGTGCTGTTTTCATGACCACATCTTAGGGTTCATGTCCAGTACAGTGAGAGTTTACAAGATGCTGAGTGCTCAGGTATTGGTGCTGATCATTCATAACTTTCATTGACTTTTTTGAGATGTAGGAAATTCAGAAGCTGAAGAATGAAGCTTCATTTTTGGGGAGAGTATCTTAATATACATTATTTAGGCGTAATCTTTGTATTTTTAAAAATGCTGTGCAGAAAGCAAAATCTAGGAGTGTCTATAAAGAATGTGGAATGGAAGAAAGCATTGGGGTTTAGTGAGGCTGGCAGGAGTGTGCTGTTTGCAGACGTCAGAAAAAGGGATCCTGGAGTGACTGTGCCAGGGTGAACTTGAACTGTCAGTGAGGCATCCACAAGGAAGTGTCAAAATGTGACTGGTAAAAAAAGTGATTGATACTTTGGATAAAAGACTAGAAAAGGCTGCTGAAAAAGAGTATGTCAGGAAAAAAGTTATGGGTACAGAGAGGCATTTTCTGTGTAATTCCCATGAAAGCTGGAGTAATGATGATGATCATTTGGTGAACGTGTCAGAAAATTGGACAGTTTGGAGGAGAAGAAGAGAGAAAAAGAAGAGAAAGTTCAAGTTGGTCAGGCTCCTCATTTGCTGCTTCTGTCAATGTGCATATTTAGCATATAAATGGGTTTCTCAAAAATGCTCGTTACCACCTCAATAAATTTATGAAGGATATTTACAAAATACGATTTGGTGGGAATAGGGAAAATGATCCCAAGACCGTTCATTTCACCTCCTATTCCTCTCTGTAAAGCTGATTGAACGAGTACACTTGTAATTGAAAAGCTGTCAAGTTCCACAGGGTATCCTTTGATTAGGCTAAAAAGCTGTGGCAGAAAGGAACTATCACAGCTATGCTCCTGCTTTACACAGGCGATGATCTGCCCTTAGAAATCTAAAATTAAGAGTGGTCAGTAGAGTTGAAACATACCAGTGAAATCATTAGTATCAAAATTAGACATGTTTTAATTCACCTTCTCACCCTCAGAATTAGAATATATATGTCAAAATAGAACATGGTGATGGAGTTTTAACTGAGCAACAGCATTATGTCGAATCTTTCTTTTTGTTCTGTACTTTCTTCTGTACCCTTGTTCTTAACTTGATGCTAAATATCAGCTTTGCAGCCGATGTGTAACTTTGAACAGGAAGGGGGAAAAGTGTCTTTCACCTTCATGTTCCCTCCTCTTTTTTTCTTAAAACCCAAGGTCCTTGCACAGCAAGACAATCTTTGCCACATTTCCTTTAAGTGATAAAGATTTCCTTCTTTGTTCACCTGCGACTCCAGAGCAAACTCTTTTTTGTTAGACATTTTCAGTGTTAGTCTTTTCAAGATTTCCTACTTTTCTGGTGGGAGTTCTTTTCATTTATTGATGTTTCTGCTGGGCCTGACATCAAAAAGGGGCAGGGCTTTTGAAGAGCAGAGTTCAGGCTTAACATATTTTCCTCACTGCTGTTTTAAAATACTCTTGTGCTTAAATTGCAAGCAGACTTTGGTAAGAAACAGGAATTGCTGACTGGGAAGTGCTTTCTGAAGTCTGTGTACCTGTGAACACAAAACAAAAACACATGCAGACACATGCCCCTGCTCACTGAAGTTTCTGTCTAATTTGTCAGCTGGTAGTAGACTATTAAGGTATTTATTTGTACAGTAGGGATGCTGAGCACTTCTTTAGCTGTGGAGCAATCTATCAATCCAGCCTTATCCTGGACAGGCAAGGACTGTTCCTGAAGGAAAGAAAGCACAAACAGAAATAACCCACTGTAGGGAGAGCGAAATCCACTGACAAGTCAAGCTAAGCCAGCCTGAAGTTGGAAACCTCTTTGGCCAAATAAATATAACACACAAAGTTCCTATTTTCTGTTGTATTTGTACAATACGTTCTGAGGGCAGTTTGCACCTCTGACACAGTCGGTACTTACTGTCCTAACCAAGTCTTGTTCCTTCTTCAGGTCAACATTGGTATTCTCATTGCTGTTACAAGAGTTATCTCAAGAATCAGTGCGGACAACTACAAGGTCCATGGAGATGCCAATGCCTTCAAGTAAGTTCTTCTCATTCAAATTATATTATAACAAGTAATTTCACACTAGCAATGTTATATCATACAGACATGTATCACAGACTTCTCCCAGAACACTGATGTCATTCCTCTTTAGTAAAAAGCAAGTAATGTTAAAGATAGCATACCATCCTCTTCAGTGCAGCCAGTTAACCTATATTCTGTGAAAGCCATATGCTGCACAGGATGAAAGTGGTGGTTCACCATGAACTAAAGTGTTTTCTTGCTTATTACAGTTACCAGCATTTGTTGATTCATGATCTGTCCTTTTGTTAATGGAGACTTTCCTCTTCCTGCTGTGTTCAAAGATAAATCTCACAGATCATCATTAATGTGTATTGCAAATGTTCTGCTTCTTCAGAGGACATACCTTGCTTTTAGCCCCATTTCAGCATAAAATTTAGGCGTATGCTTATCTTTATGACTCTTGGGGTACTAAAAAGCACACAGACTTATGCTGGATTTAAATGTGTGCTTAAATTCAAGTGGGTCTCTATATCAAGGTGCTTTGAGCTTCTTGGGATGATGGCTTCTTTAAGAGTGTGTCATCTTTAAAATACTGTGCTAGCAAGGCTAGAGGGGAAATACAAGAGACATGTCACTGTGGGCATATACAAAAGGGAAAATTCTGATTTCTAAAAGCCATGGGGTAACATATGTATAAGTAGTGAGATAATTTAAAACACTGATTTTAAAATAAGATGCTGAATATTCTGTTCTGTGTTTTGTATCTTCTAAAGATGCTTTAGTCCAAATGTAAAAAGGAAAAAAGGACACTGTATATAACTCAAGGAATATGTAATTTAGGTAGAAGGAAAACGCGATGATGTGTTTAATGCTTCTGAGTCACAGGCTATTGTATTGTAAGGATTTGGTGCCACTGCTCTGAAATGGTATCATAAAGAATAAATTTTATGCTTGGATTACTTATGTAATTTTTAAAATGCCATTAAGTTTTAAGTATCGGTGACAGTTACCTAATTGAAGTTAATTTAGTTACTGTATACTTACCCAACAGGAAAAGAAAACCAGTAAATAAGTCTACACAAAAATCTATAAGATAATTACATTGTAGTGAAATAAAAAGACTGGGAATTAAAATGATTGCTTCAGGTTTGGTTGAGCCCCTGTGACCTTCAGAAACGCAAAGGAAATTAGGCTCTTAGGAAGCAAATAACTGTAGATTGTCAATGCTAATTTGTATACACTATCAGAATTGAGAAGACAAAGGAACAACCTCCTTAAGTACAAGAGGAGCTACACAGATTTCTCTATGTTCTTAAATATTTCTTTATTTGTATTACAAAGAATTGATTCAATACTCTGCACACTGATACATATTAATTTTTTTAAGGAAAACTGTGTGTGTATATAAGTAAAATGATTTAAGAGTGATTGGTCTAGGAGTAAGATGAAATCCATTTAATCAGGAGTATATGTTCTTAGTTCAAATATTATCACTATAGATTTGGAATGGTGGAGCTCTGTACTGAAAATGTGACTTCTTCAGATACCCTGGCTCAAAATGCTCCTTGTGCCAGGTAGTTTTTAAAATACAGATTAAGGATTTGACCTAAAAAAATAGAGAAAAATGGTAATCAGTGGGAAGATATATATGGAAGCATTCAGTGGTTAAATTATTGCTCTAAGGGTTTTCCTCACAGAACTAGATTAGTTTAATAGAATATAATTGAAGGTAAACAACACACAGCAGAACATACTCTCCTTCTGTAGATCTCATTATAGAAGTGGGTCCTCTGAAGAAATCTGAAATGAGAAGGGCATAAATAGCAGTCCAAATCAGAAAGTATTTATACCCTGATTCAACATAGTGGTGACGCATAACGTATTAAAAGCTTCATGTACAGAGGATGTCATGGATAAAGTTGGTCTGTTGGAAAAAAGATAAATATAAGGCCTTTGTAATACTGGAATTCATTTTCTTGCCATCGGTATTTCTCATACAGGTGAGAAGCTTATATGTGTTTTGTGAAATCATTCTCTCCATGGTACCTTTTTCCAACAAAGAAGAGAACAAAACAAGAGAGGGTTCTGTTCTGACAGCTGCACAGGAAATGGTTTTCATAGTGAAAAAAACCATGCCCCCAACCACCACGGGATCCTAGATGTTGGTTAGAGGCTGTTGGCATGTGAGAGTGGATAAGCACAGCCAAACAAATCAGTGACAGCACAGAGAAAACAGAAAATCACAAGCAGCTCTGTAGTTTCTGTCAATTCACCGTCAGCAGGGGCTGCAGGGTAGTTTTTGAATCAAGAAGTTCAACTGGCTTAGGGAGGAATCACTGAAGACTGCAAAGTGCTTTGTGTAATATAAGCCTTAAATAAAGGGCCTGTCGGGCATCCATCTGAGTAGTGCTGTTCATGATATTAGCTATGGGGGAAACTGCAATGTTAGAATTTATCAAGCACTTTTTAGAAACAGTTGAATTAAAATGGCACAACGTGACTTTGGTGAGACAAGAAAGTGCCTGTCACCATGTTGCAGTTGTTCGCTGCAGTGAAGTGGTGCATAGAGCAGAAGTGGTTTCTTTAGGGCTGTGTTCAATGGCTTCAGAAAGCCAAAGACAGAAAATGAGAACTGCCGTATGAGCAGCTGAGGAGGGGAAGCCTGCTCAACACAATAAACTTGAGAGGGACAAAAACAGGGATTCCAGTGCTGTCTTTTCAAGCTGGAATGAAGTTTAAATGGGAAGCGCAATGAGAAACGGTAAGTTGCTGTCTGTAGCAATTTGGGTGATAGCACTTGAACAGCAGAGTTTTGAAGTTTATGAGTAGCAGGACTGGCTGAAGAACAGCATGAGTGCCTGTGGCAGGAGCATGAGGGAGGTGCCAGGACCAGCTCGTCTTCCCTTGGTAACTCCAGCCAGTATTTCTGTCTGCCTTAAGCTCCTGCGTAAGAGGCCTCACTCACACTTGCAGCTGTGCTTAGTTCAAATACAAACAGCATTGTAGTCTAAAAATCCCAACCTACAGGTTTTACAGAAGCAGCTCATCATCAGGCTCACTCTGGCCAGGCTTTGCTGCCAAAGGAAAAGTTTAAACATGCTAACCAGGACTGGCTTCCCTTTCTGCTGGAAGCCTGGGTGGGACAGCACCTGACCTGGATTTGTCTTCCCTAGCTCCAGAGGTTAGTAAAGCCAACACTACCTCTACTGGGACTCCTCATCAATACAAAACCAGCTGCTTCTGCTGTGCAGCTCATCTAGTCTGTTAAATCTCACTTGCCTTAAAAGTTCCATTTTCTCCCCAGAGACTAGGGAAGGAAGCCTAGACTGCCCAGTCTACCATCTCCGAGCACGTCTCAAGGCACGTGTGGTAACTCATACATCTGAGGTCATCAACCCATAACTGAGCAGAGATTACCTTAGGAAATTGTCAGGACAAAGATGCAGTTATGAGCCATGGTGATATCAGTTAGAAAGGATATTTATTGTTAGGGAAGTGCTAGTACTGGAGCATATTTAGTTTCCCTCAAGATTAAGTTACTTGGCAACGCAAGTGGATATTACCAACAAGACTTGTTTCTCTTGGCAACAGACAGCAATAAACTGATGTAATTATTTAGAGTAATTGTTCCTGATTTTCCATATGGCAACAGGTCCTCTCAAATGCTGACTCAAATGTGACTACAGAATATGCATCAGGGTGAGGCAGTGCTCTGCTCTGAAGGCAGCATCTGTCAAACTTCATGTTTAAAAGCCAAAATAGAAAATGAAGTTGTGAACAAAATTCCTTTTTTATCATAAGATTAATTATTATTAATCTTCCCTATTTACATTTCACCCAGAATAAAGTGCAGTGCATTATTGACTGATTGACCTCGTCAGGTTCAGATGTTGCTTGTCACAGTGGAGATCTCGGACAGCATCTTGCTGAACATTTTACTCTAGTTTCAGAGATACTGGTGTGGACATGTCTGTTCGTTTGTTAAAAATAAATAATAACACCACCCCCAAAATAAAATATGGGATTAGTATGTGTGTGAAAATAGCCACTTTTTTAGTCTCTGAAACTTTATTTGTAAGAGCTGAGCAAAGGATTGTTATTAGCTCCCATTTAGTACTTGATTTAATTTAAGAACAATTTTTTTGCAGCATATTGAACACGTGTAGAACATGAGCTCTTTCACTTAGTTGTGATTGATTATTTTGGAACTTTTTATTAGATGATTAGCTATTGATTCTCAGCAGAATAATTTTGAGTAACAATTCAATTGCTGCTTTCTGAGAATGTTTTGCATCCAGGGAACGGATTTTCCCCCAAAAGCACATTTAAATGTTTTAATTTATAGAATGCTGAATCAAATATCTTGAAACATTTAAATGCATGCATACAACATTTGTTTGCATTAGCCTTTCTTCTGTTAGGGAAATAATTAATCATGTATTTGAGTTTAAGTGTATGTGTGGTTTCTCTAATGCAAGTAAATCAGATTAATGGAATTGCTCACGTGCTTGAAAAGGCACATGATTACATTTCTCAGTTATGGACCATTAGAATTCTTTTTCTTACTTATTTCTGCTGCATGTGAAGTCTTAATTGCACTCACTGCATTCGTTAACTCTTATTAGGACCTAAATAGCTTTTTTCCTTGCTGCTTTACACCTTCAAAGTCTCATTGCTGTGTTTAGTTGGAAGGTTTACTTCTCTGTCACACTGAGAAAAGATATCCAGTGTTGACAGTGTTTTGGAAGTGTGCACATTTCATTAGCCCTGGAGAGAGCTCTTCCCTGATTATGTCTGTCACAGGTAGTTGTTTGATTACGTGAGTTACTTGGCTCCTGGATTACAAGGGTTAACGTATAACAATACTTTTCAAAGATCTTAGTTTTGCACTAAGACTAATGTTAATCATAATAAAGGGAGAAATGCAAAGCACGTCTCTGCTGCAGGAATAGCAGTTTTAGTCTAGAAACAGATACCACACTTAGCCACATTCCCAGCCAGGTCATTTTTGCATT